AGGGGCTGCTGGGAGAGGGAGAGGACTTGGCAGTATTCTTAAATTTCTCCTATTTCTCAAAGTATTTGATTGATAAAATGGCTCCTCTCAGACTAAAGACTGTTGATTCTCTAGCAGGAACAGTAAGGCCAAGACAGAGGTTCTAGAAATGGATTAACTCTACATAAGCTTTTCCAGCGTGCTTAGTGACCTCCAGGATCCCCACCCCACTACCACTCTACTGGGAGGGCAATGGCTTTAGGAAACTTGAAAAGAGACATAGACTAGTGGCACAGGTTTTGATTTTCAGGTTTTATTTACATTAATAATAAGCCCAGCCCACTTTCAGGCAGGATCCAGGAGTCTAAGCAGAGCCCAGGCCGCTGTTATAACTTTGTCATAATTGAGCACTGGTTAGGATCAACTCCATTATGAGATCAGGATCAATCTATATATAATCAGGAAGGGATAGGTTGTGGGCAGTTGGGGTCTGAGAAGAGCAAGGGAGGTGGTGGGACGAGTATTAACCTGAAGTAGCTCTATAGTAACTGCAGCAGTCTTCTGTTGTTGGAATACCCACACAGGCAATTTAGCTGGCAAAAGGACTCTGGAACTGGTTGGCAGCCTGCTCTTCTTTTCCAAGATAGGCATTGAGAAGGCATAAAGATCAAAACTCCTATAAAAATTAGATTTTGGTAACTACAGGCAGGTTTGACATAGCTAAAGGTGAGGTAAGGGCAATTAGCTTAGAAAAGGGTACATCCTTATGCCTTTCTGTTAAGTCTGTATATTTTTTCTAACCCTTGGCGATAAAAGCTTACAGGTTCTTTGAAGAATGAGTCCCACTCAAGGAGATGCAGTTATGGATCGTTCCACTAGAGGGTGTGCTTCCCAGGGCCCAACTAAAGGATTAAAGCTGGGCAAGAATTGATATATTTCTATGGTGTCAGATGGAGACTAGATTTATTGGGGTGATCACTTCGTAAGTCTAATATGAATGTCTAATCACTATGTTGTACACCTGAAACTAATATAATATTGTATGCCAACTGTAATTGAAAAATAAAATTATTAAAATATTTTCTATGGATTGATATTGAACTCAGAATCCATGTTTGATTGTTTTTACCTGTTTGCTAATGATATTAGCCATAATAATAGTTATACTTGTTTTTTGTTTTTTTCTTTATAGTCCAACCGTTTATGATTACTTAAACATGTATAAGATAACTGTTAATATTATTTTTATGGCTTATGTAAATGTTATACTAGATGCCAAATACATAAAAATGAGACAGTTGCATTATGATAGTCCAGAGGATAAAAATGATCCAGAGTTTTTTTCTCAATGAAGGGCCTAAGATCTGACTGCCTTCCATTTATCTGCCCTTCCATTTTTGGGAAAAATTCGACCTCCACTCACGTCCCATGATTATGGCATTGCCCTATCCCCAGTGGTTAACAAGACAATGACAATACTGAGACTTCTTAGGAATGAGCCTTCCTAGTGCTGTAAGACCACACTATCTGAACAGAAAGTTGGTCATCAATGCATCCTTTGGATTGATTTATGACCAAAAGGGAGAACTGTGAATGAAAAAAAAAGGGGTACTATGGAAAGTAACCTCACAGGTTGATCTGACCATAAATTCCTAACTGGGTAGGTCATGGTAGGTAGTCATGCCCCAGACATATTACTTTAGTAAAAGTCTTATCTTTGCCTTAAGTAAGCCCTGTCCATTGTTTCTGTGCATCTAGGTTCATACACCTTTAAAATAAGCCATAACCATCCTCAAGAGAGCACATAACCTTGTTAACTAGATTTAATCCAATCCTTACCTTGCTTTCCCCCACCTCCATGTAATCTTTCTTGTGTTCCCTCCTTAATTTCAAGCGCACAAAAGAAACGGCGTAACTGTTATTCTGAGATCTTGCTTCCTGGCATATGTCATAGGATGGTTCAAATAAACTCTTAAAATTCATAAATTTCTAGAAACTGCTAAATGAAACTAGGAGCCCTGCCCTCAGCAGAAAGGGACCTTAGAAAGGGGTGTGAAATCTCAGAGGTAGTTTGTGAGATATTTTTAGTGAGGACATATGGTAGGGGTACCCCAGGAGCATCTGAGGTGGGATGTGGGGTGTTAGGAGGAGAGAAGAGCCTTAGTGCTTAGAGTGGCCCTGAATGGGAGCTCATATCATTATTTTCTCCCCCTCCTCCTGCCTCAGAGGTCATATGCTTTTGCTTCTTTGGCATTAGGACCTCCAGATTAAGCAGAAAACAAGGAGTCAGAGCTTAAGACAGACCAGAACTCTGTGTCTGATGATTAAGCGACTAGTATGTAGCTCAGCAAAGGCTTTTGGTTTTGCTCATAATTGGGCACATGCTTCTGTGAGAGCGGCCCAGGCACCTCTGTTGCCATGACAACATACCTAGCACCTATTGTCTGGGCAATGGGGTAAACTGCCTGTGTTGTCATGACAACCAGATCACTATCCAATTTCCCCAGGTGATCACTCTACTGTAGAAGAAATGGGGTTAACAAAAAAGAGTGAGAGAGAGAGCAACAACTCATACCCAACAATTCTGATGTGTCCAATGAAGATCAAGGTGAAGAAATTCAACAGCCAGAAGAGGCAAATGGCAGTTTTTCAATTCCAGCTTAGCTATGGGGACCCTTTTATAATGCTCCCCTAGAAAAGCACCAATGTATGACCCTTGAATTCTTAACCACCAATCAGTAAATGGCAACTTGGGGTACCTTTCTCCTGGGTAGGAGCGACCATTACTAATTCTGAAAGCAATTTCATATTGGCTAACTTGATAAGGTTCTAATAGTGGCTAACATTTTTTTTTCAGTGCTCATTATGTGCCAGGCACTGTTCTCATGCTCATAATCATTCTACTTTACTGCTCTACAGGGACTGATATCCTTTTGTACAGATAAAGAAATGGAATCAAAGGGGTTAAAGTACTTAGCTTATCTGCGACCAGCCTGGGGCTAGAATCAAGTGTTCCTGGTTGCCTATCTAGATCTTGCAGCCTTAAGTTGGGTCTTGATTTGTGGGAGAGTAGTAGAAAGGAAGGAGTCCTGGGGAGAAAGGAAGTGGGCCCCTTCCTAGTTATACAAACCATGTGTTGGCGCCTCTGTCTTCTTCGAAGTCTCATGTATTCCTTATGCTGACGGGAGACAAAATTGACAGCAGCATACTCAAGAAGGGCAGCGAACACGAAGAGCAGACACACAGCCATCCAGATGTCGATTGCCTTCACGTAAGACACCTGCAACATCCACGAACAGAGTAGTCAATCTTCTTGGAGTCCTTGGTCCATGACCTATCCGGTGGATTGCCAGCCCATATCAACTGCTTATTTTTCTTCAGTTTTATCCTGAAGATGCTTTCCATAACGTCCCATTGTCTGAGGGCCCATGTCAAAGAGATTGGGCTGTGCATCATCTTTCACCTCTCTGCACTCTCCACCCTCCACTTGCATCTGCTTTTCCTCCCTACACTTCTTTGCCTTTCTTTCTCCTTTTTGTACTTCTGATTATGATTCTGCTTCTTATTATTCTTTTTGTTCTTATCTTCTGGTTCTTTTCTTTCAATGACAGCAATGAACATGAATGCTGCATTTGTTGGTTCTCTGTTATCTCCTAGGGTCCTTACAGTCACGGTGCTAATTGGGCAGGTTCGTTATTCCCATGTGAGATATGTAAGGACACTTATAGCCTAGAGAGGAAAAGTCTTAGCCATGATTACCCAGTGCAAAGGTGTAATCTTGGGGTGTGGGGTTCTGGGCTTTCAATTCAGTGGCACTGCCATTTACTTAGGCTGCAGTCTCAATTTCAAACTAGGAGTTCCTTCCTTTCCCTCCTCCACCCCTATTCTTCCCTTGACACTTTGTTTTGTTTCTGCTGTTCTTTGTGAGAGGCCCTGCTGAGGAGTGGAGCTCAGTGGTGAGGTGGGGCCTCATTTCTCACACCGGAGAGCAGAACAGGGCAAGGATCCTGAGGGAGTGCTGCCTCCTCCCACCCCCGGCTCTGGAAACTTCTCTGATTTCAAGGCACCATTGGCATCACCCATCCAGTCCTTAGTGCTCTCCTCTCACCACCTGCCTCGGCAGCCCTTAAGTGTTTTTCTCTTTCATTTCTTTTGTGCAGATTGAACACTCACCTCTTCTGGAACAGGGTTGTGGCTGGGTGGGGCCAAAAGAGGCTTCAGAACTCAGGTTTATGATATCCTCTCACCTGCTCAACTAGATTGACTCCCTACATAGTTGGAGCTGCTGAGATCACCCTAGGGGGCTTCCCAGCAGGAGCAAAATTGATGACAGACAACCTCTTTCACCAACCAGCCTCTACAATGTTCGACAGTGAAGGTACTGTAGATTCCAGGTAAGGAGCAGGTCTCACTGGATAAACCTTACACCTCCATGGTTTTTAAGCTGGGATGACCCCCTCAAGGGCATTTTGCAATATTTGGAGACATTTTTTGCACAATTTGGGGGGGGTGGTGGCTACTGACATCTGGTGGGTAAAGGCCAGGGACAATGCTAAACATCCTACAATGCACAGGAACCCCCCCGCCCCCCCGCCCACACACACACACACCAGCACACACAAACAACAAGAAATTATCTTGCCTAAAATGGCAATAGTGCTAAGGTTGAGAAATCCTGCTCTATTTCTTTTAGGACAACTCTACTGAGGTGAGTGGTGGTGGTGGTGGTTTGCTAGGCAACCCTGATTAAGCATCCTTTGGTGTTTCCACTTTGCTATCTACTACAAAGAGGGCATCCTATTTCATTCACCATCTCCCAGTCCCATTGTGCCCCCAGGGATGTCGAGTAACTGCTATAAAGATTGACAATGGGGTAATGACAAGGGAGGTTCATAAAGGGCTTTGGACCATCGAAAGGAAAGGACACTTTAAGCAGCAGGAAGAAACTGTTGTTAATGATGAGTGTATCAATAATACTTCTTAAATATCTCCAGAATACATCCATTAACTGTCCTAGCTCATCTGAAGGACTGCAACAGTTTCCTAAATGGCCTTTCTGCATCTATGCTTGCCACCTCCAATGTGTTCTCCAAACAGAAGCCAGAGTTTTGTTTTGAAAATATAATAAATTTGATCGTATCACTTCCTTGCTACCAACCCTTCTTTGGCTTTCTATTACCCTTATACTTCCCTTAGCATGACACCTTAGTAGCACCTGCCTACTGCTTCAGCCTTGTCTCATCCCTTGCAGTCTATGACTCTGCCATAGTGAACTATTTCAATGGTCTCCCAAGGATACAATCTCTCTCTATCTCTCTCTTTTACCTCAATAACTTTTACTTAAATACTCACTTCAGGTGCCATATCCTTGGGGAAGCCTTCCCTAATCATCCTAGTCTGGGTTGGTTGTCTCTGCTATATGTGCCCAGGTTATCTACACTTTCTTAGCATTCATCAAAGACAACTGAGCTCTTTGATGTCAGGGACTATTTCTATCGTGTCCACTGTTCAATCCCCAGTGCCTAGTTGAGTGCCTGGAAGTTGTAATAGTAAAATAGTAAATATTTTTTGGCTGGATAAATGGGTGGATGGATGAATGAATGGGTGGATAGATGGTTTAGCAATGTATTTGTTTCTGCTGGCTTCTGTTTGCTCTTTTTTCCCTCCTCACTACTACCTATTCCAAGAACTATGGACCATTTAGATAACAGGATCTCGAGAGAATTGGGTAGCTCCTCTGACTGCTGTGACTTTAGGTGTAATCTGTAAGACTGGTAGAAACTTCCATTTAGCCTTTCCATTCTGCATTGAGCCACCTGCAGTTGTATAGATCAAGAGCCTGCCAAAGAGACAGTGATCAGTGCCTTTGGGAGTCTCATTATGGCAAAGGAGTGATTTCCTGGGAGCATAAAGAACGGCCATCCTAGCTGAGTTCTCTTACAAAGTGAGCCTTTGTTTCTCTCATCCTGGACACTGGAGTTGTAGTGGGGGTGGGATTAGGGTAGTTTTCAGAAGATCCTGAACTGGCCCCACCTCTTCCCTTGGGGGTCCCACCACATCTAATGTTACACAAATCCAAGAGTGAGCAGAAGCTCCTTGACTTATTCAGTCCCTTGCTCTGTGGGGCTGGTCAATAAAACTATTTAGTTTGGGGTGCATGCCTACATATTTTGCTTACTGGCCAATGAGGCCATGAAAAGGTCATCAAAATCTGATGAGAAGGCACCAAATGCTGCAAAACAAAACAAAACCCTCCAATGAAGTCTATTTTTTCCAAATGAGGAAACTAAGTGATTCCTGGGAGCAAACTGATTGTGCTTACTCACAGGAGGGGGCTAGAAAAGGAAGTGCTCTTGGCAAAAATAAGGCATAAATTGCAATACCTCCCTGAGTTAGAGAAAAATCTCCTTTTGTGGCAGTGGCAATAAATTAAAAAAAGGGTTCCTAAGTCTGAACTACTTTTCTGCCTCTGGTCTTTATACTACCACAACACAGCCATCACAGCCCCTTCTCAATACCCCTGTTCCTTTAGGAAACACATTTATAGGGAAAG